TAAAATTTGGTAATTACATAATTTTACTAGCACCACTAATATCAATATACGTTGACTTCTTATTTAAAAATAGCAAATTTTGGTAATTTAAAATAAATAAATATCAATGGTATTTTGCAATTTTTAACTATCATAATATTTTTGCTATTAGATTAGAAGGAAAACTATAAATAAAGCTAGAAAACATGCTTAACTTTATAGTACAGGCGTACCACCCTTGCAAAAATCTAAAAAAACTGTCTAATAACTATCTGATAATAAAGAAGATCAATTCTTTTTATTTTTTCAAGACAGAAACAATGTTGCAATGAGTTCATACCAGTTTTATATTTGTATAACCTAAAAGTAACTTATGGAATAAGTTTTATGAAACTTATCCAAATGGTATGAAACGAACTACCTTCATAACGTGACAGCAGGAATATACAAACCTTAAGTACCATGATGATCTCAGTAGACTATGTATAATCTGTAATGATTATGGATTTGAAACTTTTGAAATTTTAAAAATATTATTCAAAATTATATTAAACATAAAAATAATAAGGTTAGTCTATAATCTTATATTATCTTTGATCTAAAAATAGTAAGAATTCTTATATATTATTTCTAAAACATAATTACTCTACTAAATAGTCTTATTAGTTCAAGTTTTTAGACCACCTCAAAACACTAAAGCGATATATGAAACGGAGTTACGAAAGAAAGTTGGAAATTAAAACAGATGGCAAATCTGAGCATAATCCATGTATTTCTTATTGTTTACCTTATGCTTTTGATGAATATGTTAATAGTCATGAAACAACATGCTCTAATTGTGACCAATTGTTCGACTTTCTGAAATCTATACATGAATTAATATTGCCAACTGTCCATAAACAAATAACGGAATACAAAGAACAATTATTTTATTACCTTTTCTATCAAATACAAAAAGCATACTTGAACGAATAATTTAAAGCAATATTAGCTGAACTTGATCCAGACAATGTGCTTTTTATCGCAGATTATAAAATGCATATATTACCTCAATCAGCACGCAAAACAAAAAAGATTTCTTTGGGAAGCATAGCTAAACTTTACACACAATTTTAGTTTTCACTAAAGAAAATAAAACTAAAATAGATATTAAAGCATTTGACCACTGGTCAATAGATACCAAGCAAAATGCTTGGTTTACAGTATCATCATTTGATGTCATCTTTAAAAAAATGGATAAAAAGCCCAAATGGATAAAGGTGATATCTGATAATGGCACTTATTATCATAACTCTGAGTTAATGGCTATAGTTGAGTACTGGTATGAATGGTATAATATTGAAGTTCGAAACTGGTTATTTTTAGAATCTGGTGAGGCAAAAACAACTGTCGATTCACATCATACAGCAGTTAGTATTTTCTTTTTCCTTTTTTTTAAACCAAAGTTGTCAACAAATTTGGGATTCAACTAGCAAGATAATCGTGATAATTCTTTACGATTATCATCATGCTTATTGTCTTCTCCCTTCCCTTGCTCACAAAAAAAATCTACAATTTTAAATAACTTCTATATAGTTATAGATTAAATGGTGAAACATAAATTAATAGAAATAATGTATAATTTTTGCTAATAATATATCTGTTCTTTAAAGATAATGCATGCTATAAAATGGTACTTACGAATTAGATACAATATAGAAACTAGAAATGATATTTGTAAGGTAGCTAAAAATTTATCAGAGACTTCTATAGCAAATATAGAACCAAATCGTGATGATTACATGGATATAAAGGAAAATATCAGTAAAAATATAAAATCAAAAAAGTTAAAAATAAAAATCAAAACAATTAAAGAAATTTCAAAATTATTTTTTTGGGAATGGCCTGTAAAAGGTAGATATAGTGGATATGTTCATGCACACTTGTTGCCTCATATTGGAGAATAGAGTAATTTTTCACCTGCATACTTAAATCAACTTTGGAATATTCCACTTCATCGACCACAACCAACTAAATCGGAGCATACAGTACCAGAATCTACATAGACAATACCAATAAATACAAAGTCTAGTAAGTATCGTACTATCGTTCAAACATTCTCAAATTAAATCTAAATTTATATACATACCCTATTTTAGTTAAAGACAATAATAAAGAAGGTATGAATATATTAACATAATCTTAATTTTATATACTGAAAGAGTTCTAATGATATGAAAACTAAAAAGATAAGAATCAAAATAAAAAAAAACAAAAAATGAGATAGATAATAGTAAGTAATATAGCTTAATATTTATATATGTTGTACCTTTCTGCTTTCATTCAATTTTCAAATCAATTTATTCAACTTATTCAGTTCTAGTAGTTGTAATCGCAATTCCAAGGTATATAGACTTAAGTGGTCTAATAAATATTGGTTTCATTTACTAATTGACCCTTTAGTATGATAGATTTTAAATTTCTATTACAAAAAGGTTGGGCACTAAAAGATAACCAAAAATTAGGTAATAGAGAGAGAACGAGAATAAAAAAAAATATAAAAGCTATATTAGAATATTTCTTTTTAAATGGAAACAGAAGAAATGAAGATAAAATGAGTGCATGAGATATGCATTATGAACTTCTGAAATTCGTTGAAATTGGTGAGATAGAAAAGGCAGATGTCCCAAAAATTGACATGATTCAAAATTAGGCCACTCCAAATTGATTCTTTATTTAACATAACATCAAATGGTTCATAAGAGGGGGGGAGGGCATGAAAAATACACAAATTAAAAAAACTAGCAATTTTATTGGTTGATTTAACATGTGTTAGTTATATAAAATTTAAAAAATTGAGGGTAAATACTATTAATTACTATTAATGAGTATTGGGTTCATATAAATTTTAAAAAATAGGGGGGGTTATGTTAAACGAAGAATTAAATTGGTCTGGCCTTAGATAGGTTCATACGCTCGTGATGTTAAGCGAAATACAGAGTTGCCATGTAAATAAATTTGGATCAATATTCTAAAGTTCTGAAGTAATTATTAAAAGTAATAAAATATTTTGCTTACCAATATATTTTCATCAACACAAACTTTTACCTTTAGAAAGTTAATGCAATAGGAGGAAACGTCCCCGATCCAAACCTAATCCTACACCTGGCATGCAGCACATACAAAAATTATTTCACAATGATGGTCATTTAACCACCACTATTACAAATATAATCCCTCACAGTTTAAATCAGATATTTCCTCATGTTAGTTTATGCACAATAAACTTATACCTTTAGCAAGTTAATGCAACAGGAGGAAATATTTCTAATCCAAACCTAATTCTATATTTGGTGTGCAGCACATAAAAAAATTATTTCACAATGATGAGTCACTTAGCCACCACTGTTACAAATATAATCTCTCACAGTTTGGATCAGATATTTCCTCCTGCACAAAAGTGTTTATTTTAAAAATTATTTGCAGATATTTGTCTTTTGATTTTCTTTTTTTTGTTTTTAGCTAATCTTATTACCTAGAAATAAATAAAAGAATTCTAAGTTAAACTATTTGTATTTTTTTTTTCAAAGCTAAAAATTTAACAAATTATAAAGATACAAAGCTAAAATTTATTTGATCTAGAGTTTGTATCTGTCAAGAAACTTTCTACCCAGACATTATTAAATTTTCACTTATCTAGACAATTTATTATAGCCATATAATAAAATATCTATCCGAGTACAATCTCTAATCTGCTCTATAAGAAAGTTTGAGTCATGCTATTAGTTCGTTGTTAATGATTTTTCATCTGATCAAAAACTTCTAAGATCAAGTAATATATAAAACTTATTGAATTCTAAATTCTTACTGGATCTTATATATTAACAAATGTGTCAATGTTACTTAGTAAATACCACATTTCTCCAAAGTAAACTTTTTGAGAAATAGTTTTTATACTTTGTAGTTTTGATATTAAAATCTCATGGTATTGTTTTATCGATTGTACTACTTTTGTATCATATTTTATTTTAAGTTTGTTAACTTTATTTATAGTCATAAAAATTCAATTCGTGCTTTGCATATATATGATCTGCATCATGTTATTATATAAAAATTGGTTCAGCTAATTGGCAGATCATCAATTAAAAAAAACTTTTAATTAAAAATCCTGATGACTATAAAGCTGCTACTGTTCGAGCAAATCACCAGTTTTTGGGATATTTTACTTTGAAATTAAAATTATAAACCAAGTGTAACTATTGGTTTACTCAAGATTCATTATTTAGCAAGAAAAACTAGTTGTACAGGAAAAAAAAATATTTTTCTTTTATTTTCTCTTTTTGCTTTTTATACTACAATAGACTATTGCTGACTATTCTTATTACCTCATTTTTTATGCGCATTACAATTAATTAATTTAACTACAACCCCACAATTAATTATCTAATTTATTTTCAGATGCATGATCACAATTATTGATCATGATCGTGTCATATAAGTATGACAAGCACAACCCATATTATTTTATTTCCAACCCTAAATGCATTACTAATTACTTCCTTATTTGTTCAAATTATGATCGATCACTGTTTTCTATATATCATCATCACCAAAGCTATTGCAGTTCGATCAAACATCATGGCACAGATTTAACCTGTTATACTCTTTCTCAGTTAAACCAGAACACCTCATTTCAAGACTTTCGCTCTCTACTTTCACATTGCCTGACTCATACTTCTCGACCAACTCTATAGCATTTTTTAAATTTAACAAGAGCTCCCACGTTGCTTCATAAAGGGGATCCTTTCTATTTGATTAAATATTGTAGCTTCTGATAATAAGTTCATTTATCAAGAACTTCCTCAACTTCAAATTTAGGTTCCAAGTTTGAACCTACAAAGAACTCAAGAGGTAGTAGTAACTCATTTCTTCCTTCAAACTCATTAGATATATATTGTTTCAATAAGAATACGCAGAATACTGGGTGTACTCTTATATTTGGAGGCAAAGATAGCTTATATGCTATCGTTGATACTTTTTTTTCAATCCTGTAAGGACCAATAATCTGCTGCTGGTATTAGATTTTGTGTCGACAGTATAACTTGGTCTCTTTTCTGAAATTCTAGGTTTCTATGACCTTTATTGTAATATTTCACCTGTTTTTTTTGAGCTAAAATTAAGACATCCCTTGCTATTTCCATTGTCATGGCCCAATGTTCATACAGTTCTTGAGCTGTTTTTATCTTTACATTCTTTAAAGTTTTAGCTACCACACTACTAGGGGTTAAAGGTTAGTAATTATAATCAAGTTGGAACAGAGTAAATCTAGTCGATGACTGCTGGGCATTATTATATACAAATTCTGTGGCTGACAACAACTGATCCCAATTATCTTGGTGATAGTTAATATAAATTTGTAACATCTCCTCCAATACTCTATTTACCCATTCCGTTTGTATATCTGTTTGCAAATATGCTGCTGAAGACATATATAGTTTTGTGCCTAGCAACTTAAATAGCTTTTTCCAAAATTTGCTTACAAATTTTGGATTTCTATCTGATACCATACCATGTGACAATCTGTGATTTTTAAAAATTTTGCAAAAATACAATTTCGCTACTTCTGGTGCTGTCACTGTTGCATGAATTAGAATAAAATGTACTCTTATGCTAAACCTATCTACCACAACCATGATAGAGTCATACCCTTTTCTAGTGAGTAGTAAGTGTAATAAAATCTATCGAAACTTGCTCTCAGGGTTGTTTAGAAATATTTAATGATTGTAATAAACC